ACCAGTCTAAAAATATATCGAAAGTCGAAATGCACTCAGCGATCTATTATGTGATACCCAAACCTCGGTAGGTAATGTTCAAACATACAACACTGGTCGAAAGTTATCTACCTAAAGCAATGAGCCACAGCTATACACAAATATGTATCGACTGCGTCATCTTACCTTAAGTATTTAAGGTGTCATCCACTTATTCAACGCCAGTATGGAGTGTGATATCTACTATATAACAATCCAAGTTGAGATATCTCATATCGGCATGTCAACATGCAAAGCAGCTAGAAAAAGGATAGAGAAACGGGAGGATAGGTGTGGTTAAAATTCATAAAAGGTCATGATAAGAAGGGATAAGGTAATATAAATAACAAAGTGAAATGTACTACACTTAATGATAGTATGGGGGTGTATTCACACCACAAACAGATTGAGTCATGTCATTCATAATCTCTAACCACCGGTTGTGGTGTGGAATTTGACTTGGAAGTGTAAGTATTCTACACAAGCCTCAGACCAACAATCACAGACTTCGTAAACTAATATCATTTTTTATTAAAACCACTTAACTTAATCCTACTGCAGGTAGCATTACGTGCTAAAGGAGACGGTGACTAGGGACGCATAACACGTGCCCTAGCCACCTGAGTCGATCAATCTTTATTATCTCATCGGCTGACGCTCCTCTCTTACCTCATACTGTATGCCTACTAGCTGCATGTGCTGGGATGATAACAGTGACCAGATAGCTGAGGGTTTCTTATATCTTAACCTATATGATAGGGAAAGACGAGACGATGCGCAATACACTCACCCTTTAGTGGTCGATCTCTCTGGCACTATAAATCGCATAATTTAGCCATAGCTAGTGGAATCTTTTGTATCCGTACTGAAATTTCATTGGCAATCAAAAAAATCAAAGCTGGTGCAACTTTTTAATTGGGTGAATTGGTAAATATGCTCAGCCACTTCATTTTCTATTGTTAGACGAGATACTGACGCTAACCAGTCTTGAGGTAAGGTATCATTTGGATAGTAACGAACTCCAAGTACTCAGAAAACTGGATCTTGTTAGCGTCTTATAAAAGAACTGTCGCTGTTCATAGCTTAAAACTGCAGAGTTAAAGATATCTTCATTGGATTGGTGTCTGTGTATCATGACTCCTTGATTGGTTTTCGGAAGATTATACGACTCAGCACCTTAAAGCGTCATCACAATATAGCTTTGAATTGAAGCTAGTGGCAGTCCTTATTCAGTTTTATTGTTTTTCCTATGCTTAAGGAGTAAAGAGACAGTAATGGGCACTTTGTTCCAATGGACTTCTGGAGACTGCCTCCTAATCATTCTGTTGGTTTCCATCTTTCTGTACCTTTTTATGTCTTCGTAATGTTGTCATATTGTGTTGCATATTTCTTGGCGTCCATGCTATCCCACCTTTTCGTTTTAAATAGACCAAATGTCTTGTAATTGTTTGGTAATGACTGAATCCACAACGTGGCAACTCCTGAGGGGTACTACTTCTCAAAACTCAAGGGAGGCTGATATTTGATCAATGCTCTCTTCTTTGTGTGTGAAAATTGTTCTCTTTTAGAGTTTTGTTTAAAACTTGAAAACATTCAACTGATTTCTCTGCGACTATTACAACAGAAGTTTCACTTGTTTATCAGGATGATGAATGATTACTAACCTGTGTGAACAGCTGATTACTATACCTCACTTAGCCCCTGGTATCGAGTTAAACCACGTAACTATAACTGTACGATAGGACAACTTGTACGGAGATACTTATGTAGCAGGTTATAAGTTGATTTGTCTTTTTGTTTTGTCGACCGTTATCGTTGCCACATTCAATATGAAGCTGATTGTTTGATGACGTATCCTTTTATGGATCAGTTGAACTATTTCTGATGATATTCTTGCCAACGTTCTAATCAGTGTGTTGATTTGTAATTACATGTTGACTTGTTTGTTAGATACAGCACATAGTAAAACAGTACTTTTTACAGGACGTAATCTATTGTTTGTATTCATATCAAAGATAACCTTGCAGCTTTCAGACTCGCATTTTAAAAATTCAAAGCATTGTCATTCCTTTTTGCTAGAAGTATTAGTAGTACATCGCTATGATTAAGCTTTTCTCTTTTTCTTATCTTATTAAGGTATGCGATTCTAGATTTGATTAGATCCTTTGAATTGTTAATTTGATTAACGCTATCCTGTTGCCTTGACCTATATACCTGACCTCACAGTCTTGTCTTCGTCGTATGTTATTTAGCAAACGAAATTGGTTCTTTTCATAGGTTAAATAAAATCTTTAGACCGAAAAATTACTTTCAAATTGAGTTTCTAGGCTTAAATACCCTCTCACTCTAGTTTCAGTGCCTCTTGGGACCTTACGTGAAGTAAATTAGATTAGACCTCGTAGTTAAATAGCAACCAACCACCATCATAAACTTCACTGAAAGCTGTTTTGAGAATGCAATTAACGTTAATATTAATGAGAACTTGTGTGGCACATTGGTTAATGGAGTTGACTTTCAGTTAGTGGGTTTTGGGTTGGAACACAGCTCTAACTACTGAGGTTTGGACAGTCAATTAGTATCATTAGCCTTCACACAATAGGTGTAGCTCATTGCTTACTGCATGAATGTGCACAATCTTTCTCAGTGGATTTTGATTCGATTTGATTCATTCTGTTGATAAAATTTCCAGATAGATAATGTTTTCTAGAAAAAAAAAGGGAGTCATTAACTGACTTGACTGACATAAGTTTGACTACTTGTATTATTTTGGCTTAGTTACCACAGCTAAATCCTAACTGGATCATGCCAACGTAACCCGCGTTTCTCTTTAAATTTTATGTTGAAAAAACCAACTGAATAGTCAACAGAGCGGGAATCATCACTTGATGGTTGTATATAATAAGAATAGAAGGGAATCAGTATTTAAAGTATTTCTAATTCGGAGATCACTGATATACTGGTGTGCTTAAAACAAGTATATATTTAATATATCCGCTTATGTTTATATTTCCCACTGTATACTTTGTTAACCTGAATACTAGTTGGTCCACTAGACTGTGGTCCCATGCCTTTACTGTAAGGCCTGGGCATGACGTCTATATGATATGGTCTAAGAATGTTTGGAATGCGTTTCTCGCTATCTAACTCTAAGTTACTGCTCGGGGACTGATCTTCACCGGTTCTCTGTCTAACAATAGAGAGCGAAGTAGTTGAGTGCGTTGACCACTTCACTTACATAGAAAGTTGAACCAGCCCTTGTGGATCAGTGGCCTACAAAAGACTCAATCGACTTTCGCTAGCTTACGCTATCTGTGGCGCCGTAGCGATACGCGACTACATGTTAGGGGTCGAGTGTACTGTGCTTGAGTCCACTGTATTCTACTCTGTGGGTGCGAAATATGACCATCATAGGTAGGAGATATGCGAAGACTTCTGGTGTTTGACCACTGTTGCCTTCGTGGCATAGACCGTGTGTCGTGACGTCTCTGCGTGAGTAAGGCGGAAGTCAGATGTAGAGTTTTACAGAGGAGAGAGGAAAGCCCTTTGATGCGGATGTGAACCTTCATCAACTGAGATGGCTGGGACATGTGTTATGCATGCCTAGTCACCGTCTGCCTTGTTGCGCAGTGTTGGCTGAAATAGGTTTAGGTTGGTCAAAGCTCTGGGGGATGGGGTGGGGGGAAGGCAAAGAAATAGCATCACTGCATGAAATCTTTGACTGTTGGTTTGAGCCATGCAGGACGATGCAGACTAGCTGATTGAGGTCTGCGTGATAACAAAGGCTAGTAGTGGGAGACTCTAGGTGACATGACTCAAAATCGACGTCAGTGGCATAGATGTATGTATTCACACATTACCTTTGTCGTAATCGTTATACTGAATTCAGTATTTTATTATCTCTCCTTCATCTCTTTTACTACCTCTGCTTCTGACAGATTCTTCGATTTCATCTCTCATTTTGCTACTTTCTTACTTGTTGTGTTGATTTATGTCTGTCAACGTGGACCATTGTTCAGTAATTTCTGGTCCTATATTGGTATTGATTGACTTATTATTATTATTATTATTATTATTATTATTATCATTATTATTATTATTACTTATCCCTTGGGTTCCCAATGGAACATAGGGCTTCAGTAGCGCGTCGCCATTTCACTCTCCTCTCTACAGTCTTCAAGCCTGGCTCCACGATTGCCCAGAAGCTCTCATTTCTTCCTCATACAATCTCCTCCATGTCACCCTAAACTCGGACGCCCAACTCGTCGTTTCCCATTTGGATTCCATTCTAGGGCCTGGCGCATGGTGTCCCCGGATGGTCTTCTCAGTGTTTGCCCAATCCATCTCCACTTTCTTCTGTATATTTGTTGGGCGATGGGTGATTGATTGACTTAGTGGTCTGTAATCCAATGACTGACTAATCTGTTTAGATCACGGTAACAGGTTGTGATTTCACTTACTTTACATGAAATTTTATAACCCCAGTCGCCAGTTGTTAGATTCTTGTAGTGACTACTTGATGTAGCATGATTTTTTTATATATGTTACTGAACGCTTGGGCAATAACCTACAGATTCCAACCTTAATGGTCACTCAGTTTCTTGATAACTGGAAAAGGCAGTAAGATGATAGGAGGTGTATTACAACGTTAAGGAATATATGCAAAATACAAGGGTTTATATATATTAACAATGGTGTTGGCTATTTACAGGCCTTTCTAGGTTTGAATATATCCTATTGATTTTCGTCTTTTCAACTAATCTAATATTTACACGTTGGTTCATTTGGTTTCTCCTGAAACCTCCAGGCAAAAGGATTATTTGTAATAAGACTTGAAAGATTTAAGATCTTTTATGAAGATCATAACAATTGAACAGGAACTCAAGAGATATTTTTAATGACTATTTATCAGTTGGATTTTTCCTCTCCTTGTCAATCATATATTACTTTTGAATAAATTTTTTTATTACAGATAAACATTGCTAATGGATAGATATGATCCTGTAGAATCACCATCTAGCAGCAATTCAAAATCATTCATCTTTCTTATCATCTTATCTCAGGTATATTAATGAACAACATGTGTAATTTTAATATAATATCTAATTAATTTTTTTATTTATAGATTTTTGGATTGTTAGCTGTTGTGTTAACAGCTGTTTGGTTAGGAAAATATTGGGGTGGTTTTAGTTGGACTAATGCTAGCACAGTCTTCAATTATCATCCACTGTTTATGGTTTTAGGTCTAGTGTTTTTATATGGAGATGGTAAGTTGTATTATTATTATTATTATTATTATTATTATTATTATTATTATTATTATTAGTCCCTTGGGTTCCTAGTGGAACATAGGGCTTCAGTAGCACGCCTCCAGTGACCTCTGTTCTCTGAGATCTTTTGAACCTGGTTCCACGACAGCCCAGAAGCTCTCATTTCCTCCTCGCGTGACCTCCTCCATGTCACCCTAGGACGTCCAACTCGTCGCTTCCCATGGGGATTCCACTCGAGCAACTGGCCTGACGCGTGATGTCCTCAGTCGGCCTTCTCAGTGCATGGCCAATCCATCTCCACTTCTTCCTGCATATTTGTTGCGTGATAGGTTGTTGGTTGGTTCGTTCCCAGAGTTCCTTGTTGTATACTTAACTAAATAGATGTTTGTTTTTATCCTACTTTTTCTGCGAAAATCTATCTAAAGTGGTCTTCAGCAGTACCATGGCTAACAATAGAGAGTGAGTGTCGTGGTTGAGTGTGTCGACCACTTCACTTACCTGGGAAGTAGGATCAGCCCTAGTGCTTTGATCAGTTGCCGACGAAATCTGTTCACGGATACAAAAGACTCGGTTGGCGTTTGCCAATTTACGCCATCCATGGCGCGGCCGTGATATCCGTTTATCTATTAAGGGTCGCGCGTACTGCACAGCAGTCCGGTCTGTTCAACTGTATGGCTGTAAAAACATGACCATTGAAGATGGAACATACATTGCCTTCGTAGTATAGGCCGTATACTGTGGTGTCACCACGTGAGTAATGCAGAAGTCAGGTAGAGAGTTTTAGGGAATAGAAGTAAATCAGTTGACACGGTTGTCAACCTTGATCGATTGAGATGGTTGAGACACGTGTTACTTATGCCTAGTCACCGATTGTCTCGTCACACAATGTTGGTCGAAGTAGGTTCAGGTTGGAAAAAGACCCGAGGTGGCCACACTAAAACATGGCACCAATGTATGAAGTGTATGACTGTCGGTTTGAGCCATGTGAGTGGGGCGATGGAGACTAGGTGGTTGGTGTCCGCGGGACAAGGGGAACCAGTGGTTGGAGACTCTAGGTGATATGGCTCGGAATCGAAGTCAGTTGCGCAGATGTATCCCCATACACACACATTATCCCTATCTTAACGACACTATACCGAATCTCACCATTTTCTCATTCTTCTTTTCTTTCTTCTCATACTTCACGTTTCTTTTGACTGAATTTTCTTATCTTCATGCTTCACCTGACTACCTTTCCACTTGATGTGGTGATACGAGGTGTGGGAACTTGGACCGTTACATAGTAATGCCTAGTCCTATGTTGATATTGATGATGATGATGATGATCTAAAGTTTTACCTCATCTCATTAATAGTCTTAAAAGAGAGTAATTTAATCTTCGATATACTTTTATGCTCAGAGATAGTTGAAATAATGTCTAGCTAACCGATCACCAAGCTGGTTGAGTTCTAACTTCTTACCTTATTCACAGCTTGGTACTATCTAAATCTCAAGTGAGTAGTAGTTGGTTGTTGACTCAACCGTCACGTTAAAAGTGGAAGACATGAAGCAGTTACATAGGGTTTTACCACAGATATCTTCATAGCATTCCTTGCGTTACATTGAATCACCGTGTGAGCAAAGTTAATATCAGTCGAGGGGTACTGAGCAAGACAGGTGAGTTGATTGACGAAGTTGTAAACCCTAGGGGACTGAGATGGCTTTGACATGTGCCATGCTAAGGGAAACTGAATGAAGTTGGAAGAGGGTTCAGGGTGACCAGAGAAGGTGAGTCGTGGCATCACTCTATGAAGTCTTTGACTGCTGGTCTAAGTCATGTGGCATGATGTAGACTGTCTGGTTGGGATCCTCGAGATGATAAGAATCATTGGTTGAGGACTCTTGTCGACATGACTGGAAACTGATCACAGTGGCGCAGATGTATTCACTTCTTGACGTCTTCTAAAGCTTGAATATTCGCACTAACCGTTATCTTCAGATTGTTTATTCTCAAACACAATTTTGTCTTCTTTGGCACCACTCTTCTGTTCTTTGTAAACTAATGCTCTATCACGCATAACATTGATCCAGAATACATGAGGCTGTAAGCCATTGTCAAATATGCCTCCAGATTCATCAAAAATCGACCGATTCGTCAATTCGTATAACTTACAGATCGAACTACCTTTAGGACTTTCATTTCTATCCATACTGCGTGATGATTGAAGGTGAGATGAAAATTTGAACCGCGGCCGGATTCGAACCAGCGACTACGCGTTACCGGCCCGGTACTCTACCAACTGAGCTACGACATCCGACTGACTGCTGACCAGAATTTCGCTGATAACTTGTGCCTAATTTCACACAAACTCGAAGATCTACAGGCAAAAACTAACAAGTTGACAGAAAAGGCAGCGAAGACGGGATTTCAAGTGAATGTAGATAAGACAGAAACAGGTGATGAAGATACCCAACCAACAATAACAGCAACATTAACAAATACCAATCACCATCAACGGGAGAAACTTAAAGGAAGTAACCTCTATCTAGGCAGCATCGTTTCAACTACGGGCAATGGCACAGACGAGGACGTGAAAGCCAGCCAGGATTGGAAACACAGCAAGACAGGGGTTCATTAAGCTGAAACCAGTGTGGATATCCACTTCACCGCACTCAGCATAAAGCGTGAACAACATCCGGATTTTCAACACCAATCCAGTCAAGTCAGTGCTTCTATATGGTTGAAAGACCTGTCGCGTTACGAAAGGGATTTCACACAAACTGCAGATATTCATCAACAACTGCCTACGCTCGTTGTTGAAGAGGAGATCAGATGGCCAGAAAGAATAAGTAACAAGGAACTTTGGCCTGGCGACGAACCAACAAAATAAGAACCTATCGCTCAACAAATATGCACTGGAAGGAAGTGGGGGTGGATTGGGCATACACTGAGAAGGTCGACTGGGGACATCAAGCGCCAGGCCCTCGAATGGTAGCCAGATGGGAAACGAAGAGTTGGGCGTCGGAGTTTAGGGTGACATGGAGGAGATGATGTGAGGAAGAAATGAGAGTTTGTTGGCAGTCATGGAACCAGGTTCAAAAGATGGCAGAGAACAGAATGGAGTGGAGACGTGCTACTGAATCCCTATGTTCAGCTAGGAACCCAAGGGACAAGTAATAAAAATAATCAGTCATCAAGGGTTTTGCCTGACTACCATGTGAATTCATGGTGCATTAGTACCACTTGGTCGTATTCACACTGGCTGCCTAGTCAGGACTTCTTATCCCAATCCAAATCTAACTGAATCAGAGAGGGGGAGCATCATATTGATTATCATTTGACTATGTAAGATAACCGTAGTTTGGCAGACTAGTATCTATACTGGGTGATGATTGAAGGTGAGATGAAAATCTGGACCACGGTTGGGCAATATCTCATTCAGAACTCTTCATTTATGTCGGATGTCTGTAAATTTGTGGTTCCATTATATGCATTCAGTACTGTGTAATATATATATGAATGTATTAATTAGTTTGTAGTATGTAAAATCACTTCGTTTTGATTGAATTGTTCAAAACAAGTAAATATATTCAATTAGTAATCGTATCCCACTTATTCAATATTCAGTACTTCCATAGAGACTTAGCACTAGGGGTAAGACTTAACAATATTGAATTGTTTCAGATCATACACCTTAATAGCACACTATAAATGACATGACTGTAGACATGCATAGATATAAATTAGTAGTTAATTTATTGGTATGATAGTCGGGCTCACTTATGACAATGTGACCCTATGATCTGTGCTGATTAGAATGAATATAGGTTCATTGAACTTTTATCAGGTTGCTGAAATTTGTTGGTAATTAGCTAGGATAAAAGCTTAATGTTAATTATGTTTGCTGTAATAGAATTGCTATATACCCGTAATTTTGTATAGCTTTTGCTTGGTATTTTACTCATAACCTTAAAATGACCTATCATAGCTTTTTTCATACTCTTACTAGTTTTTCTACCCTCTTCTCTCAAGGCTGAACTCTCATTGGTTGTTAACTATATGTGGATTTAATGGTGTCAAGGTCATTTAGAAATGTATATATTTAGCATTGCTGTCCACTGTACTGACTGTTTTTAAAGACAGTAAAAAGCTCTATGGTAACGGTGTTTCTTCTTTTCTTGTCTTCGCGCGTCGATAGGATTGTTGTTGTGGTGGTTGACGTTCTGATTTACTTTAGAGTTGATTCGTATGCGCATTAAGTTTGTGTCGTTCATAATCTCCTAAGCTCGTATCGCTTGTAGACTGTTAGATGATCATACTACCAGTGATAGGAGGAGTTCCAAGAGTGAAGTCGTTATTAATTGGACAGAATTGAATTGTTTTTCCATCTTGTTAAGAGGAAATTGTAAACCGTATGGAGTGAAAACTGTTCAATATACCTAGATGATATAACTCTACAATCATGAACAGTTAAAAAGGGTGTATATGACTACCTCAAGCAAATGTTGAGTGTACTCTACGGTTCACTTTCTCCTTCAGCTACTTCAATAAGCTCAACTTCCATGAGGTAGATGGCTACAGTCTGCCTCATCGCGAAATGTCAACAGAAGCAGGTTTATATTGAAAAAAGCTGGCGGCGACCAGACTAAAACATGGCATCACTTTATGCAACTTTCGGTTGTTTTTAGTTTTAATCGTTTGAGTCCTCAGCTGCGGTAACCATAACAACCAAAGTGGATGGTTAGAAACCTTAGATGACATAGTTTAAGATTGATCCCAATGGTGCAAATACATCCATGCATTATCCTAATCATCAACCTGAGTTTCATTATTGTTTCACTCCTTTTCCATTCTCTTTCGAAGACTTCCAACCACTTTTGATTATATTCATCCTTATTTCCTTATATTTCATCTCAGTGGATTCTCGCTTGATGTGCTGATATAAAGTGTGGCAACGTGAACCGATAGGCAGTAATATCAGTTAGTATGTATCAACTGACCATATGCTTCCAATGACACTCAAACTGTAACTGGTTGTCACCTACTTTCCTGACTTCTGCTTTTATTCGCGCTTCCTATCATACATAGTATGCTTCTTACAGTTTCCTTAAATTCTCTTCTTCACGACTATGACTGGTGATGCGAGACGATAATGCATTTTTTTCTACTCTTCGGAAATTACGTCGAAAATTTCAACGTTTAAACTCTATGCCTAGTTGGATGACACAGCTTACTAGCCAAAATATTTGCAATCTCAAGTAATGAGGTATGCTGATCTCTAGTTACTAATCTTATGTTTCCTTAACTGTGTCACTGACTTATTGTTGATCCTAGATTTCAAATCTCCATCTGTTTCTACATATTTAAAGTATGTTGTGTCATTATTACTGGTACTAATACTTCGTTCCAGTTGTTAGGGTGTTTGCAGCTGATGAAAGGTGGTGAAAAAAGGGGCTCATTTTATTCTGTAGATATCTTTGTTCTTGCATTGTTCAAATTACAAGTATATCAATGAATAGCTGTAATTTACCATTCCTAATGTACAATGATATGTCACATATAAAAATTAAAGTCAAGAGAACTTTCCAGAAAATTGAAACACCTTGCTCAATTATGCGGACACTTCATCAGCTCACTAACAGAATTCTTAGAAAAAATCCTATGTATTAATATAGAAAACAACGAATTAATGGTATCCTTCGATGTCACAGCATACACATATATACACATTCATTGAACCCCAAGTGGTCAAGGAAACCATGTCCCTTCTCCTCATTGAAGACATAAAACTTAAATGTTCAAGTCTGATGAAGCTCATCGACCTTTGTCTGATAACATACTTCCAATTCAACGGCAAGATATACAAACAGATAAAAGGAACTCCAATGGGATCACCGATATCCAGATTAATTGCAGAAGCAGTGATGCAGAGACTGGAAGCCATCATCCTACCTGGGATCAAACCGAAAATTTGGATTCGCTATGTGGATGACACTTTTTTCATCATTAAAAAGATGAAACATTCACAGTTTGATCAACAACATTTTCAATGACATCAAATTCACAATGGAGAAAGAGTCAGTAGGACAAATACCCGAAAGCTGGAAACCCAAGTGAACAAGGAAACCAACACACACTGATCAAATCGTGAACTACAGTAGCAAAAACGCAACAGCTTGCAAATTCTACTGAAAGGAGCGAGAATACACTGCAGTACAACACAACTTCACGAAGAAAATTGCTTGATGTCCATCCTAAAGAAGAACAGCTACCGACGAAACTTTATCAGAAGATGCATATTCCGTGCATCATCAACTAAAAAGTCATCGATGGAAATCAATAAACGCATCATCCACCCACACATAGAGAATATATGAGAAATTACTACAAGATTACTGAAACCACTTGAAATTGGCGTGGCCATTCATCAACCAACAAACTCCCTTCAAACCCTATTATGCAGACGAAAGGATGCAACAACCAAAGAAGACAAACGGAATATCATTTACGAAGTCAACTGCAATAATTCTGGTCAGCACTACATTAGATAAAGTGGTGACACTCTTCATCACCCATTTCAATGCATGTGGCTAACAATTGTGGACATAAATTTAATTTTGACAATGTAGAGGAAACACAAAAAATATCAGAGAACTCCTAGAAGCTTGGCATTCAGATCAGTCAGTCAGCAATCAATAGATGTATAGACATAGACCCAATCTATCAACCAGTAAGAAAAATGATAAACGACAGAAAGGTGAGAGGTGAAGCAGAGGGACAGGCAACAGGAAAATCTATACAGTCAGTGGGCAACAATCAAAGGAAATAGCCAATCACAAACCAGTTGGTCATGGCAAGCTACTGAATAACTCATGGAGAGATATTGGCATCTCACTTCGTATTGATAATGTTGTCTATGAAGACAGTGGGAGCTTCACGATTAAACAATCCAGCTCCGAGAATACACTTTAACCAAAAAGTCAATAAAATGACGGAATTTACCGTTATCTGTGAAATATGGTTATTGAATTTTGAGGGAGTTGTGGGGATTCGCAAATATTTCAAGTTGTTATTCATCGTAGACTGACATCAGTTGGAGGAACAAAGGAAACCTGGGAGCACTGGACAGCTGTTTCATCCTAGTATGGGACTCCTTGGCAGTGCGCACCCACGACCCCGCCAGGGATCGAACCCACGACCTTCAGGTTCTGTAGTTAGCATGTTACCATTGAGCGACTTGTATTCCTAAAGTTCCAGTGAGAAGTCTTGATCGGTGGGGCAAAGCCTGATGGTCGTGAGGACAGTTACTCAACGATGACATTGGGTGGCGGTTACGCTATGTCGTGAGCTAAGAGAAGTTGGAAATATGAACCATTGGATTCTTACCCAATGGCTCAATGGTAACATGCTGGCCACGAAACCTGAAGGTCATGGGTTCGCACTGCTGAGGAGTCCCACACAAGCCGGACGAAACAGCTTTCCAGTGCCCGCAGGTTTCCTTTGTTCCTCCAACTGATGTCAGTCTACGATTAATAAAAATTTTAAATACGGTTATCACTTATTTTGTATTTCATGTTTTTTGTCCATTTTTCGGGTGTTTGATCGTCTTCTCTGTGTGTTTTTGCTTCCCTTTTTAATTAGCAATCTTAGTTTATCGTGTATTTCGAGCATATCGTAAATTACCAATCAAAATTCTCCATGCTATCCTACATATTTTGGCATTTCTTTTCGGTGTTCTTGGAATTAAAGCAGTTTTCGACTTTCATAATGCTTTACTAATACCTAATATGTATAGTCTTCATAGTTGGTTGGGTATAACAGCGATTGTGATGTTTGGATTACAGGTAAGGTGTATATATGTTATAAAATTAAAATTTGGTTTTTATGCCTAAAATTAAATCAACACTGAACCTTGGCCACAATTGCATCGCGTCTAAAGTTGTTACACGTCATCAAGTGTCATCAATCACTGATTCCTTGAGTCTCCGGTATCCCAACCAGACAATTTACGCCCCCCCCCTACATGGCTCGCACCAATAGTCATAGACTTTATCGACTGATGCCACGTCTTGCTTGGTTAGTGGTGTCCAAGGGTAGGTGTGATGTTTCGATTGAAATGATTAGACCTCAGTCAGATGACATAAAACTTGATGTGCGCAACACATTCATTCACTAGATTCACACAATCATCGTGAGATTTAAACAACCGGTTTTCAAGGAAAGATTAATGTTTCAGGGGACTGTCAAATCAATAGAAAAATATTCGATAAGATGAAGTTATATCTAAATATTACGGAAGAAAAAAGTATTTGGCTGATAGCCGAACTTGGAGATGAGAGTGGCAAAGCATTACCTGTAAGTATTGACCCATATATTTTTGCTTGATGATGGCTAGCAGTGGAATCTAGGACATGCATTTCGTCCTACTGTGAACTCATCAGCTGAATTTGCCTGCACCCAAGTGAATGATGCTATTCCCACTGAAACTTTAACCCAGCACTCATCGCTTCAAACTTCGAAAGGTTATCTGCTATGCTACTGAGGTTCGAGGACTAGTGCGAGCAAGATCACTCGTTGCGGTGCAGGTACATTCAGCTGATGAGTTCTAAACAGGACGAAACGCGCATCCTAGATTCCACTGCTAGTTACTACCAAGCAAAATACAACATGATGAGTAAGCAGGTTATATCGAAGGGTCCGCATAGGGAACCGTATATACCAACGGAGGTCAAACAATCCGACTAACATTTTGCCAGTGAGCTAAAAGTCCTCAATGCAGCTAACTACCTGTTAGATATTTGAGCATCACACTTACAACAAGAGGTTCTTTTCTCAACACCTTTAATTTAGTAATTAGCTCACGAAATATTAAAATGGTCTCATTATTCTGTTCGTATGATAATAATAATGATGATGGTTATTACTATTATTACTATTATTGTTATTATTATTATTATTATTATTATTATTATTATTATTATTATTATTATTATTATTATTGGAACATAAACATGGTACACCAAGGGAGCCAAGAAATGCGCTAAACAAAATAATATGGCAACATTGTGAAGATATAAAGCGAAGGGAAGCTGATAAGTTAAAAATAGAAACACAAAAGGAATGGAATGATCAGAAGGGCAGTCCAGTAAGGTACATTCAAAACAAATCATCCATTACTTTTCAGCAGCACAAGACAGAAGGAGGCTACAACATGATTGCCACTGGTTTTGATTCTCAGTCATATCTAATAACGTCTCAAGCCATTGAGTTACGTGATCCCTCGGACCCCACCACAACCAACAAGTGCGAACTCGATACAACTATCCTTTGTCCCATGGCACCACGTCATACACTAACCAACTCTCCGCTTCTTCCATTCAGTCCCCAGGTTAGCTGACAATGAAAGATGTGGAAATCGTTAAGACGACATATGTAACACATATTCAAGCCACTGAAACCGGTGTTTTCAGATGACTTCACTTATTGTTTGACGATCTCTATCATACCCAAACACATGCTGTCATGCCTCAGAACTACTTACAATGTGTTACCAGCGGATACGAGCAATCCTATGGAAACAACGTTGATCGAATACACAGAGTCGTCGCAGATGGCGAGCTCGAAGAGGCCAGATTTCATAGGTGTAAAGCAGAATTGCTTGCAGCGAAGCGTCGTAAACCCGATATTCACAGTCAGATTGATGTGGTGACGGCACCAAATGTGGTCTAGATTAACGTATGCCACTCTGGCCTTAAGTATCTGGTTGGAAATACCACCACATACGTCCACCAGAGCTCACACAACTACCCACACACGCGAACTATTCGACTACTTCCAGATGATCAACATCGATGGTGAAAGCAGTAACTGGCTCCTGCCAATCTTCCAAAAGTGTTTCGCACTTCGATGATGGAAAGCACATACCATATTTGCAGACACTAATCGCCAACTGATTCAGTGCGGCTTGATTAGCTTGTATATTATCGCACAGTAAGACGATATCGTTCGCATATCCAAGGTCAAATAGCCGTTCTCCGGGTAGGATAATGCTTCAATTCATTACGTAGTGTTGTTTCTATCAAGGAAAGACAAAATGAGAAGGCCTCAGGTGCTTGACTACCATCGCCTTTGTACCGTAGTCTGTATGTTGTACTGTCACCACGTCAGACATATAGTTTTAGGCAGGAGGAGAAAGTCATTTGTTGGGGTTTTGAACCTTCATCGACGGAGATGGCTAAGCCATGTGTTACGTATGCTAGCCATTGTCTGTCTCGTCGCACAATGTTGGCTGAAGTAGTTTCAGGTTGGTGAAAGGCTCGTGGCGTCTAGAATAAAACATGGCATGAGTGTATGAAGTCTTTGACTGTTGGTCTGAGCCATGTAGGGAGATACAAACTAGCCGGTTGGGGTTCACCGAACAAGAGAAACCAGTGTTTGGAGACTCTACGTGATGAGACTCCGAATCAGTGTCGATGGCGCAGATGTATACACACAATATCCTTATCTTAACCGCTATACTTAGTTTCATCATCTTCTCATTCCCCTTCCTCTCTTTATTGGTTTTTTATTACTTTTCATTGGTTTTTCTTTCTTTATTCATCCCTCATCTTATTGTTTTGTTACCTATGGTGCTGATATGAATTATGGCAACTTGGGTCGTTGTGCGGTAATAATATGTAGTGTTATTCAATTCATAAATTTCAGTAGGATTCGTCAACGCTTTCTACTCTACATACGTGATTTTCTATGTATACTGTTGGGCGATAAAGAAGTACATACACACATACAATACACCAGACTAAGACATTGACTGAGGCATTACAACACGATTGAATCCTTTAGTTATCATTTGACTATGTAAGATAGTCGTAACTTGGCAGATTAGTATTTATATACTACATACATGCATACATACATACATACATACATACATACATACATACATACATACATACATACATACATACATACATACATACATACATACATACATACATACATACATACATACATACATACATACATACATACATACATACATACATACATACATACATACATACATACATACATACATACATACATACATACATACATACATACATACATACATACATACATACATACATACATACATACATACATACATACATACATACATACATACATACATACATACATACATACATACATACATACATACATACATACATACATACATACATACATACATACATACATACATACATACATACATACATACATACATACATACATACATACATACATACATACATACATACATACATACATACATACATACATACATACATACATACATACATACATACATACATACATACATACATACATACATACATACATACATACATACATACATACATACATACATACATACATACATACATACATACATACATACATACATACATACATACATACATACATACATACATACATACATACATACATACATACATACATACATACATACATACATACATACATACATACATACATACATACATACATACATACATACATACATACATACATACATACATACATACATACATACATACATACATACATACATACATACATACATACATACATACATACATACATACATACATACATACATACATACATACATACATACATACATACATACATACATACATACATACATACATACATACATACATACATACATACATACATACATACATACATACATACATACATACATACATACATACATACATACATACATACATACATACATACATACATACATACATACATACATACATACATACATACATACATACATACATACATACATACATACATACATACATACATACATACATACATACATACATACATACATACATACATACATACATACATACATACATACATACATACATACATACATACATACATACATACATACATACATACATACATACATACATACATACATACATACATACATACATACATACATACATACATACATACATACATACATACATACATACATACATACATACATACATACATACATACATACATACATACATACATACATACATACATACATACATACATACATACATACATACATACATACATACATACATACATACATACATACATACATACATACATACATACATACATACATACATACATACATACATACATACATACATACATACATACATACATACATACATACATACATACATACATACATACATACATACATACATACATACATACATACATACATACATACATACATACATACATACATACATACATACATACATACATACATACATACATACATACATACATACATAACGTAGACTGAGACGGATTTAGGTGTAACAACGTAGAAGTGAATAGTTTTTACAGGTCAACTGGTAATCCAGAAGATAGAAATGGTTATTTAAAATTGAATGGGTTGGGGATAGGTCAATTGAGTTTGGATAATAGTGGATTGCAGGCAGGAAAATAATTATAATAACAACAATAATGTTGACACAGGGGTAAGAACTGAATCGATTGAGCGTCGATTATGTCATTGAAAACAAGATAGTTAATAGTACTACTTATGCAGACAGTAAGAAAACAAGGTGTATATTGAGATGAATAATAATGATAACAGTGGTAATAGGAATAAGGTTAATTAGACGAGTCAGACCAGGGAAGGTGAACAAAATATGAGATGGGTGATAATTAATAGTGAAGAGTAAAATAAGAAGGATTAAATATGACAAGACAATGTTTTAATTATTACCATAGCAGACTCAGGCTGACTACCATTCCCTTCTGAATGCAGAGGTTTGGTTTGACAACTCGAATCGTGCAGGCTTCTACATATTCAAGCAACTTCTTATTTTGCTGTCTACTGATAACCTTAAAGGACTTACAGGTATCAATATCATGTCCATAGTCCATTAGGTGCTTCGTTATCCAGCCCCTCGGGGTCTTCTTTTCGGCATGCTTCAACCATTTAGGTATGTGCTCAACCATTCGGGTGGACAGACGCCTCTCCGTACGACCAGTGTGTTTGCCTCCGTAGGTATATTCGAAATGACATATGCATTTAGATGTATCGAGGATCGGAGTACTGTCATTCCCTGATTGCTGCAATCCCCTTTCGATGGTTCTGAGAAGAACGAGTTTAGCTGCGTAGTAAGTCCTTGTGATAGACTTCTCCAGTCCTCGTCTAACTACCTCTAGCACGTAGTCACCTTTGGATGGCAACGTGACGTAGGCGGGCTTCTTCTACACTGTTGGGGCCGTTGTTCTGCTCCCTATCCATTTTGCTTGGTTTTTGATAATGCTTTCTGGGCACCCATTCTTCACCAGCACGCTTTTCAAAGTCCCTATTTGGTAGTCTAGTGTGCTGTCAGAACAAATTTTCCTGGCTTCGTTACACAGCGTTCTGACTAGATTCATTTTGTATTGGATCGGAACAAAGGTCCTAAAATGAAGGTACTGTCCTGTCCATGAAGGTTTCCCATAGACGGACCTTTCGATAGATCCATCCATTTTTTTTCACTAATGAGACATCTAAGAAACTAATCATATTATTTTTCTCGTGCTCAATCATAAAGGTCAAGGTTTGGGTGACATGGATTGAAGCTCTTCAGTAGTGCTTCTGCCTCCGCTTCACTTTTACATACAATGAATATATCGTCCATGTAGCACTGCTACAGTTCCGTCTGACCAATCAGGTGCTTCATGCTACTATTTTCCAGACTGGATAGAAATAAATCAGCGAAAAGGGGATTTAGAGGGCTTCCTAATTGCGACTCCATCGGTTTGGCGGAATAACTGTCCGTTGAACTTGAACTGGATGTTCTTGGTGCATAGATTTAGATGCTTTCTCATAGTTATAACATGAGTGAGTGATAATAATGATAATGATAACAATGAGAATATGAATATTGAAAAGATTGAAGATTATGTGATTTTGAAACATGGTAAATAATGAACATTAATTAAGAAGCTTGGTAACAGTGTAAAACTGAAGGAGGCTAGAGTAATCGTTGAACAATAACAATCATAATAACGATGGAGGTGAGTCATTTGATGCCGAAGCGGAGAACTTCAACCCGAATAAGGACATTGAAGAAGTAAATATGTAAAGTAGAGGAAGAAATAAAATGGAAAAAACAAGAAATTAAACAACTTCAAAATACTTTAACACCTCTACTATGGTAGATTCAGAGTGACTACCATCTCTTTGCGTACACATAGGCTCAGTTTTAGGAACCCGGATCGAACATGCTTCCACAATTGCAAGCATATCTGCTGACAACTGAGAAAGCCTTAATGGCGTCAACACTATGTCGATAATCCATTAGATGTTTCGTAATCTAACTCCTTGAGATTACTGACTTGGCTTGCCTCAACCATTTAGGCAAATGTTCAACCATACGACTAGACAGACGTTTTTCGATACGGCCTATGTATTTACTTCCACAAGTACATTCAAATTAGTATATACAGTTAGATGTGTCGAGGATTGGAGTCATATTTCTTCCTGATTGCTGGAACACCTGCCTGGTGGTCGTCAGAAGTAAAAGCTTAGCTGCATAATCAGAAGAAGTGATTCTTCTCATGGTATTTATTGTCTAGTCTCCACTTAACTACTTCTAAGACATCATCTCCTTTAAAAGGTAATTTTTATAACCGTGAAAACATCTCTTTCGTATTGTCTGCTTTTCGTATACTTATTAACAAAGCCTTCAGGGTAACCGTTTTTAGGCAGCATCTCCTTCAGTGTTCTTATTTCATAACCAATGATACTCTATTAAGTAGGGTTTTGATAAAGTTCTTTTTGTATTGAATTGTGACAAAGTCACCAGGTGAGTAATGCAGAAGTCAGGTAGAGAGTTTTAGGGAATAGAGGTAAATCAGTTGACACGGTTGTCAACCTTGATCGATTGAGATGGTTGAGACACGTGTTACTTATGCCTAGTCACCGATTGTCTCGTCACACAATGTTGGTCGAAGTAGGTTCAGGTTGGAAAAAGACCCGAGGTGGCCACACTAAAACATGGCATCAATGTATGAAGTGTATGACTGTTGGTTTGAGCCATATGGGGCGGTGGAGACTAGGTGGTTGGTGTCCGCGGGACAAGGGGAACCAGTGGTTGGAGACTGTAGGTGATATGGCTCGGAATCGAAGTCAGTGGCGCAGATGTATCCCCACACACACACATTATCCTCATCTTAACGACTCTATACCGAATCTCACCATTTTCTCATTCTTCCTTTCTCTCTTTTCGTACTTTCTATTTCTTTTGACTGCATTCTCTTATCTTCATGCTTCACCTGACTACCTTTCCACTTGATGTAGTGATACGAGGTGTGGGAACTTGGATCGTTACTCAGTAATGCCTGGTTCTATGTTGATGTTGATGATGATCGTGCATAGATGATATGTTGATATTTTTTTTCTAATTAGCATGAAATATATTTTCTTTTTTAGTGGGTTGGTGGTTTAATCACTTTTCTAGTACCACAAACACCTCAAATTGCTCGTAGTCAACTCTTACCTATACATGTTACTCTTGGCAGTTTCTTATACTTATTGGTGATTGGTGTATGTATTTCTGGAATTACAGAGAAAAACTTTTTCTCAAAAGCGTAAGTTGTTCTCCCTTTTTTTAAATTGTTTTATCTTTACTTAAGGATATCATTTTCTTTCAAAGTAAAATGGAGATTTTATTTATTTCAAAGAGTTGGAGAAATGTATAAGATAATGGTGAATATTTGTAGCTCAAATGGATGGTCTTGATTGTATGAAGTATGAAGTATGCTGAAGTTAGTGTTGATGATGTCGTCCAGGAGAAAGATGATGAAAGCTTCACAATTAAGCAACCCAACTCCTCAGGGAACACAATACAACCAAAACATATAAAAACCTGGGAATACTGGACAGCTGTTTTTCCCCCCTAGTATAGGACTCCTTCCTTATCGGTATAGATGCATAACTTCAGGACTTTTGGGTCCTTATGCCGAACGCCGTTAATTATTCAGTTACTGGATTACAGTTCAATGGTTCACAGTTTCATATTCCTATCAATCCATAAGCTTATACAGACCGTTTCTACCACCACCTTAGAGATTTGTTCCTATATTTTTCATTGTACAAGTCAAAGACTGAATCATTCTGTTAGAACTGAGTAATGTTGTTCCCACTGAAACTTGGAACCAACATCTATTGTTTCAAATGCCAAATGGTTTTATCTACTTTTTCAATCGGTATCAAGTGTATCCTTCTGATACTTTTAACTTTCTGTTGTTATTCTGGATCTATTCAATCAACCTTTCCTAACAAATAGACTATTATAGGATAATGAATAACTAGGCAATATCGAAGCACCACAAAGATCTTCATCTCCCCTTAGCAGAGATCGAGCAATTCGATACCGAATAACAATGGGAAATTACAAGTATATCAACAAGTAATAATTAGGTTCACAAGTTTACACATTAAAGTAATTTATATTTGTTGTTTAAGAATAGAAGGATATGAACTTGTCCAATCCCCTTTTGAATGAGTCAGTTGACGATGAGGACACCACTTCTTCTGGGAGTCGGTTCCAGGCGTTGAGTACTCGACTCGAGAACCAGTACTCTGCAGAGACTATGTTCTTTGTTTGCTTTTGTAGTTATCTACTATTTCCTCTGAGGTGTTCTGACCTAGCGGGAAGGAAAAGAGAAGATAGATCACGTCCGAAGTCATTCTTTAGAATCCCGCATAGCATGATTAGATCTCCCTTCTGTCTGCGATAGGATAAAGAGAAGAGGTTCAGCTCCTTGACTTGACCTTCATAGGTGAAACCAGCCATCGAAGGGATCATACAAGGGGCTACCCTCTGGACTCTTTCTAGAAGGTCTGCGTCACCTTCTAAACAATCATTAGCCGCCTGTGAACAGTTTTCTAACTTAGACGTAACTAAGGTTGTATATAACATGGTGAACGTATCACCATAATTTCTTGTAAACATTCTGCGTAATGCCCAAAGTGTCCCAAAACTCCGAGGTGCTACCAATCAACAGTGTGCTATGGTTTTCAAATTATAACTCACCGTGACTTCTAGGTCGTTGTGCGCCCATTTAAACATGATTCTCATGATTGATGAGTATCATTTAAATATTTTATAGGTCAAGTTGTTTCCTTTTTCACGTGAACTCAGTGTTGCTATATGAATTAAATCGATCCTAGTGTAATTGATACACTATGCTAACAAAAAAAACTATCCAGCAAAATTCTAACCCCTGTCAACTCCAACTGTATTTATCATTTCATAGGTACATGCATTAGCAAGTACGTAGGGAGGTGGTTGTCCATCAGGATTGCTAAAGATATGCTATACAGTGTATGTTTCTTGGTTATGTTGTCCTCTTTGAGGTGGGTGGTTCAATCGTGAAGCTCTCATCGCCTGTCTAGACAACATCATCACTATGAACTGAGCTGTCAATATCTCTCCATGAGTTATTCAGTAGCTTGCCATGACCAACTGGTTTGTGATTGGTTGTTTCCTTTGATTGTTGTGTCATTGACCGTATAGATTTTCTTGTTGGATGGATGTCCCTCTCCTTGACCTCTCACCTTTCTGTCTTTTATCATCTTTGTGATTGGTTGATAGATTGGGTCTATGTCTATACATCTATTGATTACTGACTGACTGACCTGAATGTCAAGCTTCTAGGAGTTCTCTGATATTCTTTGTGTTTCCTTTCTCCGTCGAAGATTTCTACATTGTCACAATGCAGAAGTATTCAAACAACCAAATGTCATTCCTGCATGTTTTAGTCAGTAGAACAAATGCCGGAAGCCAATGCACACTGATCAGGTGCTCAACTAAATTAGCAGCAACTCAACAATACACAATTAGTTGCATACAGACTCTATTGAAAAGAGCGAGAATACCCTGCAGTACAACAAGTTCACGAAGAAAACTACTTGATGTCCATCCCAAAGAAGAACGGCTTTCCATGAAGCTTTATGACAAGATGCCTATCCCGTACCAATATCAACTACAAAGTCATCGATGAAAATCAATAAACGCATCATCCACCCACATATAAAGAATAAATGAGAAATTACTACAAGATTACTGAAACCACTTGAAATTGGCGTGGCCATTCATCAACCAACAAACTCCCTTCAAACCCTATTATGCAGACGAAAGGATGCAACAACCAAAGAAGACAAACGGAATATCATTTACGAAGTCAACTGCAATAATTCTGGTCAGCACTACATTAGATAAAGTGGTGACACTCTTCATCACCCATTTCAATGCATGTGGATAACAATTGTGGACATAAATTTAATTTTGACAATGTAGAGAAAACACAAAAAATATCAGAGAACTCCTAGAAGCTTGACATTCAGGTCAGTCAGTCAGCAATCAATAGATGTATAGACGTAGACCCAATCTATCAACCAATCACAAAGATGATAAAAGACAGAAAGGTGAGAGGTCAAGGAGAGGGACATCCATCCAACAAGAAAATCTATACTGTCAATGACACAACAATCAAAGGAAACAACCAATCACAAACCAGTTGGTCATGGTAAGCTACTGAATAACTCATGGAGAGATATTGACTGCTCATTTCATATTGATGATGTTGTCTAGGAAGACAATGAAAGCTCCACGAATGAACAACACAGTTTAGAGAACATAATATAATGAAGATCATCCATCTGAGATACAAATATTCTCCACCATTTCGAAAGTCCCACATCTAAGAGTTCCATCTCCATTTATCAGTGGAATAGTTTATCACTTATCCGATAAAAGGCATCAATCGGATACGATAAAATTTGTTCAAAAGACCTCACACCTACTTTGAATTATTGAAATAGTCACTATTCGACAACGTCAACCTGAAGTGTATGTGGTAAAAATTCTTCTTAGTTTCCACCGATATTCAGGCATCTCAACTTCTATGTAATACTTCCACTGTTTGTGGTAACAATTGTGTTGTGTTTGGAGAATCTTGGTTGACCTTTTGTTGTTAACCGTTTCAGAGTCTGAAAAAGATAGGAAGCTGTCATTTCTTCCTCACAAGATCTCCTCCATGTCACCCTCACCTCTGACATCCAACTCGTCATTTCCTATCTGGGTTCCACTCGAGTGCCTGGCCTGGCGCGTGATATCCTCAGTCGGCCTTCTCAGTGTATGCCCAACCCAATCCATCTCCACTTCCTTCCAGTGCTAGGTTCTTGCTTTGTTGGTTCGTAGCCAGGTCAGAGGTCCTTGTTGCTTATTCTTTCAGACGTTACATCAAAGCAACTCAATAGAAAAGTACATATGAGATAGGAATGTAATAGGGTGTAAAATTAAAGTATTACGTAATAAAAGCAAAGTGAATGGTTGCATGTAAAGTCCATTTTTAACCTATATAATATAACCAGTGGTTTGATTAATTAGTGAATGTCAACTTCCAGTAAACTAAAATAAGCGGGTAAAGGGCGATTCCTTAGAAAGGTGTACATCACACTTTGATTTGTGACTGCTTCAATTCTACATAGTGATAGGCAGTTATCACAATTCTGGTTGATATTCATCACGGACTGACATCAGTTAGGAGACCATTGGAAAACTGGAAGTAATGGACTGATATTTCGTCTTACTGTTGGATTCCTCAGTAGTGTGCACTCATGATCTCGCTAGGGATCGAACTCAGGACCTGCGAGGTTCGCAGCCAACCTTTGGGTTGGAATCCACTGAATTATATTTCCTAATTCTGTCACTTAGCAATATAGCGTGACTGGTAAAGCGAAACAAGTTATTCAAAGATGGCATTGGATGAAGGTCGTACTCTGTCGTGAACTAACACAAATAGAAAATCTCCTGGCCCCAATTCTTCATATGTCCTGCTTTCGATCCCTGGCGAAGTAGGCTAAAAATGGTACTAAACTATCCGAGATTAGTTATTATCATACTTATTTGGCCCTTGGGTTCCTAGTTGAACATAACGCTTCAGTAGTACACTCTCTATGCAGTTCTCTTAACCTAGCTCCATGACTGCCAACAAGCTTTCATTTCTTCCTCACACCATCTTCTCTATGTCACCCTCGCCTCGGACACCCAAGTCGTCGTTTCCCATTTAGATTCCACTCGAGTTTAAATGTACATATAAAAACGTAGAAAAGATTATCATTCTATTGGTAGATAGAATCTTATACACATGCCTTGATACTGCCCAGTTGCTTATTATGCTATAATCCGTTTGATGACTAACAGTGGAAACAAGGGTGTGGACTCATCAGCTGCATGTACCTGCACCTCTGTGAGTGGTGCTGTTCCCATGAAGATTCGAACCTCGTATACACCAAGAAGTTGAGAGAAGAATCAGGACAGCGAAGAAAGATGGGACATCAGGTGAACGTAGAGAAGACAGAGGTGATGAAGATACTCAACCACCACCAGCAACAAAGAGCATAAATCTCCATCAACGGGAGAAATCTAAACGAAGTTTTCTCTTCCACCTACCTACCTAAACAGCATCGTTTCAGCTACAGGCAGCGGCGGAGATGAGGATGTCAAAACCACGATCGGGAAGATACCAAGACAGGTCTTCCTTCATTAATCTGAAATCAATGCGGAGATCTGCTGCACTCTACTCAGCATAAAGCGTGAACAACATCCACCTATGATCACTCAATACTGAAGAGCAGATCAAATGGAAGGCCAGAATAATAAGAATAAGCAAGGAGGAACTCTGGCTGACTGGCAACGAACTAACCAACAACCTATCATCGAACAAATATGCAGTAGCAGAAAGTGGAGATGGATTGTATTGGACTGGAAATACACTGGATAGACCGTTTGAAGACATATAACGCACTAGGTCAGGCCCTCAAGTGGAATCTAAATGGTTGGGCGTATGAGGCGAGGGTGACATGTAGAGAAGATGGTGAGAGAAAGAATTGAAAGCTTATTGGCAGTCATTGAGCCAAGTTAAGAAGACTGCATAGAGAACAGAGTGAAATTGTGACGTCCTACTGAAGCCGTTGAATTACTAAGCCCTACAAGTGCTTTCACTATATATACTGACGGTTCCAGTATACCTTTGAATACTTCTTCTAAGCTAACATAAGATTTCAGCTTTCAAATACACTCATATTAGGGTAATCAATTTAAGATCAAGCATATGTCAACAATACATATGCCCTATATAATTCCATATCATTCTGTACTAAGCCGTTGGTTTTTTTTTTCAATATCTTAACTCTACGTTTTATGTTATTATTAGTATATATTACTCATTACTGAAACCAGTGTGGAGATCTGCACTCAGCATGCGGAACAAGATACGGATTTTCAACACCAACGTCAAGTCAGTGCTCTTGTATGGCTCAGAGACTTGCGCGTCACGAAAGGCATTTCCAATAAACTACAGACATTCATCAACAACTGCTTACGCTCGCTGCTGAAGATCAGATGGCCAGAAAGAATGAGTGACAAGGAACTCTGGGAACGAACCAACTAGGCAAGAACCTATCACGCAACAAATATGCAGGAAGAAGTGGAGATGGATTGGCCATGCACTGAGAAGGCCGACTGAGGACATCACGCGTCAGGCCAGTTGTTCGAGTGGAATCCCCATGGGAAGCGACGAGTTGGACGTCCGAGGGTGACAAGGAGGAGGTCGTGCGAGGAGGAAATGAGAGGTTGTGGGCTGTCGTGGGACCAGGTTCAAAAGATCTCAGAGAACAGAGGTCACTGGAGGCGTGCTACTTAAGCCCTATGTTCCACTAGGAACCCAAGAGACTAATAATAATAGTAATAATAATAATTACTCATTACACCTTTTTTTTCTTTTCATACAATTTAGATATCCATTACTTAAATCTGGAGAAGTGATTGGAAATATACTTGGAGTTACATTAATAATATTTGGTGGTATTGTTTACTACTTAGTTCAACATCCAAATTATCGTCGTTTAGAAACAATATCACCAGAACATCGTGCATTACAAGAATAAGTGAATTTTTTATTGTGTTGATGTTCAATTGGATTCTATGGTCAATTGTGTGTGTGTGTGTGTGTGTATGTTCATCGCACCTCCTTCTTCGCTTTGCGTTTTCGTTTACCGTATAGAGAAGAAGAAGAAGATTTTCCATCAGCTTTACATTTTGGTGTGTTTTTATGCTTATCTCGTTTGGAATTGAGATGTATTTCATTATATTGTTGTTTTTCTAAAATCATTATTACTATTATTTGGGATATTATTTTAATTTGGTGATAATTTAATATCAGTTTGTTGTCCTTTCTCCATTTCTCCTGCTGCTGCTGCCGCCACCGCCGCCGCCGTCGTCGTCGTCGTTCATTGTCATTGAAAGATAATATAGTGTATTTGAACATTTATTGTTTTACATATCTCCCTATTTCGTTATTTGCTTGGGTTACTGTTGTTCAAATGTACGTGAACCAACTTTCATTCTCAAATCATAGATCTGACTTATGTGGTGTTATTTATCTCTTGTTTAATTTCACTACTCTTTCATTTTACCTTTTCCTTAAGTGTGCTACTCGTCAGTGTGAATATGTCTTGTAATGATGTTGTATAACTTTTGTCTGTAAGTCCAGTATACACACACACACACATTTGTCCAGTCTTGTCTCTCCATGTGTGTGTGTGTGTGTGCGTGCCTACGTATACATCTCTCGCTCCACAGATCATTTCCTTGTCTATATAAACAATACATTTTCTGTGCATTGATTTGAATGATCATTATACTCGCTATTGAACGATGGTGTTCTTTCTTTGATATAGGAGGTATGTTCTACTGCCAAATCGATTAGGCTAGATAAGATAAACAAAACTAATCTCTGAATCTAACTGCCAGTTAATATGTGCCAAATGTGTTCACAGGCCATCAGTTTCAACACTATGAATAGTTCGTCTGTACAGGACTGACGAACATAATGTCTAAGGTCCTAAGTTCTATAATTCTCCGACGCCTGAGTGGAGCTCGGGAACAGCAAGCCCGAGAAAACCAGGCAGGCTTTAGACCTGGCCGTGGATGTATCGACCAAATATTCACACTGCGCCAGGTCCTGGAACATAGGCATGCTTACAGACGCCCGACAATAGCTGTATTTCTCGACCTGAAGGCGGCATTTGACTCCGTTGATCGAGAAGTCTTATGGCAGTTGTCTGTCACTGAAAGGCGTGCCTAGTAAGTACATCACGTTATTGAAAGCTCTCTACTCGAACACTTGTGGGCATGTAAGAGCCAATGGCGAGTTGTCCAGGGAGCTATACTCATCAAGTGGTGTCCGTCAAGGATGCCCACTATCCCCATTCTTATTTAATTTTATCATAGATATTCTTATGGAGGTTTCCCTCTCGTCACCTAATTACACAGACGTTGACCCGATCACAGGTGAATTTTCTTTAGATCTAGAATATGCAGATGACATAGTCCTGTTAGGTGAAGACGCTGACAAGATGCAGAGTCTTCTGAACACTTTGAGTGGGAATTTGAGAATGTTTGGGATGCGATTTTCACCACCCAAATGCAAATTTTTGCTCCAGGACTGGTCTTCAGCGGTACCGCGGCTAACAATAGAGAGTGAAGTGGTTGAGTGTGTTGACCACTTCACTTACCTGGGAAGTAGGATCAACCCTGGTGGGTTAGTTGCCGATGAGATTTCTGCACGGATACAAAAGGCTCGATTGGCTTTTGCCAATTTGCGCCACCTATGGCGCCGCCGTGATATTCGTTTGTCTATTAAGGGTCGCGTGTACTGCACAGCAGTCCGCTCTGTTCTACTATATGGCTGTGAAACATGGCCATTGAAAGTGGAAGATATAAAAAGGCTTCAAGTGTTTGACCACCACTGCCTTCGTAGTATAGTACGTATTCCGTGGTGTCACCACGTGAGTGATAATGCAGAAGTTAGGTGTAGAGTTTTAGGGAGAAGAGGTAAGTCAGTCGACGAGGTTGTGAACCTTCATCGACTGAGATGGTTGGGACACTTACTACGTATGCCTAGTCACCGATTGCCTCATCACACAATGTTGGCGGAGGTGGGTCCAGGCTGGAGAAAGGCCCGAGGTGGCCAGACTAAAACATGGCACCAATGTATGAAGTCTCTGACTGTTGGTTTAAGCCATGTATGGCGATGCAGACTAGGTGGTTGGTGTCCGCGGGACAAGAGGAATCAGTGGTTGGAGACCCTAGGTGATATGGCTCAGAACCGAAGTCAGTGGCGCAGATGTATGCACACATTATCCTCATCTTAACAACGCTATACCGAACCTCACCATTTTGTCACTCCTCTTTTCTTTCTTCTCGTACTTTATATTTCTTTTGACTGCATTCACTTATCTTCATCCTTCACCTCACTACCTTTTTACTTGATGTGCTGATATGATGTGTGGCAACTGGGACCGTTACGCAGTAATGCCTGGTCCTATGTTGATAATGATGATGATCGTCTGTACAGAATACAATCTGTAACTCAGACAGGCAGACGAAATTAACGTAGAACCTCAAAACTGTTTCGACTCAAGTTTCCACAGTTTACAATAGTATACGTCTGAGCCATTGTGGACGATTGTCAATCAACCACTGATTCCTTTCATCACGTCGACCTCAACCAGGAAGTCTACATTGTCCCACACTAACAGTCAGAGACTTCACCGATTTGTGCCACTTGTTAGTCTGACCACCCTAAATCCTCTTCCAAGCTAATTCAACTTACCCCAGCATAGAAAGTCGAGGTAGGTGGTGGATGGGCATGCGCAATAATACATGTTCGGCCTATCTCATCAATCGACTTGCTTGCCTTACCTAGTACCCTCCTCTTCACCTCAATATCACTCACACGGTGATTCTAGCAAACATGGGCAATGCTACGAATACACTTGTGATCAAAATCTTGTAACTGTTTCATGTCTTCTACTTTTAACCATCTTGTCTGACAGCTGTACACCAAGACAGAACGGATTACACTGGAGTGTAATAGTCCTTCAGTAGGTAGTTGGATATCTCACCAGTCGGTGCCACAGATGAGGCGTTTTGTCAAGTGCTGAACTGGCCTTCTATATTTGAGCTGAGATTCTATCAGCAACCAGTCAGTTCGAATTGACGCAACTCCCCAAGTATGTGAACTGGTTGACATATTCCACCACTTCACTTCCTATCACTAAACTGGAAGGGGTGATAGACCAGTCCTGGAGTATCATCTTACATTTGACAGGTGATAGAGAAACGCGTGCCAAGCATACTCAGATTTCTGCTCAACGTCTTCAGAAGATCCTGCATTTAGTCAATCAGTCAGTCACAGTTTCGAGTACCGCTCCGCCGGTAGAGGTTTGAACAGCCAGGTAGTATCATTTGCCCTCACATTATAATTATGTCTCTCATCGCCCACTGAAGGAATGTGGACATATTTTGCTGAGTGCCTCTCTCTTACTCACATAACAGAAGCATCATATGGAACATTTTCACCGCCAACCGTATCGTCAGTGATAACTTTCATTCTCTTCAGATGGTTATGAGTTCAGCTGCGAACAATCTTGCTTTTTAATCATTAAGAAGCGAAACACTACGAAATAGTAGAGCTGATGATACAATATGCACAACTAAAGGAAACTTGGAACAATATCGCATGGTGTACTTTATTCTTAACAATCGTTTACTCTAGCACAGTTTTGTAGCCTCGTTCCATATGGATAAGATTGACATCGACTACTTTCGTAGCTCCACATAGTTATATTCAGTGGTTTTAACTAGATTCGTGGAGATTCCTCATTGCTAGGTTTCTTTATGCTCTAGTCATGCTTATTTCGGTGCTCTTGAAGAAATCCCAAAAGTTCACCACTACAAGAAATCGGTTATGACGTGAATACCTAAGTAGTTAAGCGTATGACTTGATTACTGATTGACGCAGGTTCCAATCATTGAGGGAACACCAGTTTCCTTATGGTTGCAGATACTTCCAGCAAGCATTCAATCTAGATGGAACAGGGCTTCCTGCTGACTGGAATAACGTCAGTGTAATGACACAGAATCAGTCATTTCTGTCAACAAACTGTTATAGATATTTTGTCTCAAAAACGCCCCTTCGTGTTTAAATTAACAACTACACTGAGTATACAATGGAAAGCAGTGGAGAGAATCAACAGTTTCTTTGTAAATGCAATTTCACCTGATTTTCGAATGTCTTTCCTTCCATTTTCCAAAAAGAAGCGTATACACTTACTATTTACCTCTAAAATTTGTATATTACTGGTTAACGATTATAAATACCACATGCATTCCTGCTTCAAATGTTTATAAACAAGTTAGGTGCTGATAACTTAGCGACAGTGGGTACCCTCTCTCCGAAACTACGTAAATATTATCTACTTAATTAAAATACCAATCCAGACAATCATTGGAAGTAATTCTCATGAGCTCAACATGTTCTTGGATAAAATATATTATTGTACATTACGAAATAAGTCACTCATCAAAGCTAGCTAACTTTTCAGTATTTAGCAGATTGTTTATTGTTCGAGAATTGAACACATTCTATGCAGATTGCCACCCATTTACTTTAATCAAGCCTTGTTGAACCATTCATCTACTCTCTCGAGGTCATCTAGTTGACTTAGAGTATGCAGACGATATTTTCGTGCTTGGTAAAAACGCTGATAATATGCAAGGGCCTATAAAGGTGTTGAACAGAAATCGGAGTATGCTTGGCATGCATTGCTCCACGACTGGTCTGTTGCAAATACTTCCAATTTATTAATAGGCAGTGAAGTGGTCAATTGAGTCGACCACTTGATTTACTTGGTCTGGTTGTTGACGAAATCTCAGCTCAGATATAGAAGGCCGGTTCAGCACTTGACAAAACGCCTCATCTGTGGCACCGACTGGTGAGATATCCAACTACCTACTGAACGACTATTACACTCCAGTGTAGTCCATTCTGTCTCGGTGTACAGCTGTCAGACAAGATGGTTAAAAGTAGAAGACATGAAAC